CCTTAAATTATGAGGTGAAAACTGCGATCGCGGCAGGAGAAAGACAAGGCCAGCCGCCAAGCGTGGAGGCTACTTCAATAATTATCTTCCATCCATCGCTACGGCGCAGTGATACAACTATTCATACTCTTAGGAATGCGTGAGGTATCACGTTACAATTGAAGGCGTTTTTGAAACTACCGACTTTCCATGACGGGTTACTTGCAAATTCGGCGATGTATCTCGACGTTCACCGCGACGCGGAATGACGGGAGACCGTAAATGGTCTCGACTTGTCCCCACTTGGGCCCATGCAATTAAAGCATGGAATGGGAGCAGAGCCTTGTCGAACCGAACGCAAGCGGAGGAGATTTCTACACACATTGCAGCCCACTCAATAAAAAGTGGCATGCCTACTACAGGATTTTTCCCATTCCCCGGTAGCCGCACAACCGGCAACCAAGTGCAATTCGGCGATGAATCTCGATTTTCACCGCGACGCGGAATGACGGGAGACCGTAAATGGTCTCGACTTGTCCCCACTTTGGCCCATGCAATTAAATCATGGAATGGGAACAGAGCCTTGTCGAACCGAACGCAAGAGGAGGAGATTTCTACACACATTGATTTCTACACACATTGCAGCCCGACCAATAAACAAGTGGCATGCCTACTACAGGATTTTTCCCATTCCCCGGTAGCCGCACAACCGGCAACCAAGTGCAATTCGGCGATGAATCTCGATTTTCACCGCGACGCGGAATGACGGGAGACCGTAAATGGTCTCGACTTGTCCCCACTTTGGCCCATGCAATTAAATCATGGAATGGGAACAGAGCCTTGTCGAACCGAACGCAAGAGGAGGAGATTTCTACACACATTGCAGCCCACCCAATAAAAAGTGGCATGCCTACTACAGGATTTTTCCCATTCCCCGGTAGCCGCACGACAGGCAACCAAGTAAAATGCGGCGACTGTTATTGATACTTGTTTATTGTTAATTCTTCTATATAAATTAAAAATTTAATAAATTACAATCCTAGCTTGAGCACACTTAAGCCATGCGGTCAAAACTACAATAGCGGCAAAGGAACCCCGACAAGGCCAGCGTGGGGGCTACTTCAATATTAATCTTCCATTGCATTGCTAAGGCGCAATGATACAACTATACGTACTCTCCGGAATGCGTGAGGTATCACGCCACAATTGAAGGCGTTTTCAAAACTGCCGACTTTCCATATCCGGTTTCTTGCGCTGCATACATAGGGTGTCTACTTTATCTGGCTGGCAAATTTAAGTACTTTCACGGTACCTTTCCAAAAACTTCGTTACCCCCTCATACGCAGAAAAATTCTTTTTTGCGTACCACTAGTTGGCGCAATTTGATTATTGTCAAAATTCACTCTCAAATAGCGAGAAAAATAACGTAGCCACAAAGTTGGAAGCACGTGGTGGCCGAGGATCAGCTGGCTTCAAAATCACGATCTTGCGGGAAAATAATGCACTAAGAATCATTGCGCAACGGATTGCAGCATATTTTCCAGGCTGTTTCAAAAACACCCGTGGCACGAAGCAAAAAATTCCGGACCTTTAAGGGAAATTTCCGTACTTGTTCAGTACTTCCGGACCGCCTTAAAACATCAGTACTATTTCCGGACTTCCCAGATTTCCTGGACCAGTGCACACCTTGATGATAGCGCGACGAAGACCGTAGGTGACATCAGTGAATTCTTCGAGGTTGACGGTTCATCCATGCGGTCCTATCATTGCGCGGGCAATATTCGGGGATAACATGACCGGATTTTCGAAGAGCTCACCGGCGCAAAACTGAACTTCGCGGATCGAAAAAAGGGAGACAAAAAATAGAAGAAAATTAAACAATCCTAAAAAATAATAATGAAAAAAAAAAGAAAGAAAATACTCTGAAGCTTCCCGAGAAGGGACGAACTTCAAGAAAATACTAAATGTACGAGACACTTAATGCAGTGACGCCACCGAGAAAAATTATGATTAAGTGTACTTATTAGCCTGTGAAAAAGAATAAATGACCAGCTTCTGTCATGAATGCAATAGACGGTTAACCCGTACCGTAACTCCGAAAAAAAGAATTTTTTCTGAGAGAAAAAGGAGACATTGCAGGTGTAAATAATAGCAAAATTGAATAAAGGTCAAAATCGAAAGATAAAAGGATGAATTGATACAAAAAAGAAAAAAAGGAAAAAACTTACGAACTTAATTTAACCGCTCGAAGCGCAATGAACCCCAGCAATGAGGAAATGTTTATGCACGGAGCACGGGCTGATGACCAACCGCAAATGAGGAATTGGTGGAGTGACTTCCTGATAGACATCCTATCACAGGGCCGAAGGGTGCTGCTTGTTTTTAACATGACGACCCGGAAAATCAATTTATGAGAGTTCAGTGTCGCCGCTGATTTTCAGCTGCAGACATACCAGTCTTGGGCTAATCATTGAAACTGATGGACAAATATATAGAAAAAGAAGACAACGGGGATATGGAGGGATACTATCGGTGAAAGCAGGTGGTTGCAATTAACAAAGGAGGCTGGTAATAGACTAACTAACAGCACACGGGAGCCCGTTTAGTTAGTCCATTTGCCCCCTTAGTCGATAAGAACCACCCGTTTCAACCAATATGATCACTCTATACTCCCTGTCTTCTTTGTCCATCTCTTTGTCTATCAATTTCAATAATCAGCCTGCTGGAGGGCTTATCCTTCTGCAGAGATTTCTCACAGAAGTATCGCGAAATCAACCGTGACCTCACCTAAGCTGCCCCTGCCATATTAAAAGGACGAGGTATTATGCATATTCATACATGCTGCAGTTATTATGCTTGCGTTGAACAGATGTTGCGCTGAATTGCAGTCCGTTAATTATGTAAAGCACCTTTTCCGATTTTCAGAACCCCCTCCCCCTTGAAAGGTACCTGTGAGAAAATCCAAAGCTCTCCTTAATAATTTCTGATGAAAGTCCACCCTCCACTTGTTTCAGGAACTATAGAACGTAAGAAACAAGGAGAGACATCGAAAAATATGTGATTTTTTCAAACCTCTCTGAAAAAGCATTGGTAAAATAAGAGCTCTCAACAAGCCCGCGGCCATTCCTGCTTCAATTTTTTTTACGGCCAACATTCCTCAATTACTATAATATATAATTCTCAACTCGATGTCTCGACATTGATGCCCACTTTTGGTATTGAGAACTACCAGTGAATAGGAGCTTTTCACGTGCACAAGTGCCTAGACACTATTGTTTCAATTATTTATTCCTTTCTTTCTTGTCGACAGGGTGTCCGAAAAAACAGGCAGGCCAAAAATCAGTGCTTTTAGGGTACTTTTTCAGTACATTTCCAAGAAATTCAGTACCTCCTTAACAGAAAAATTCAGTGACTTTTCAGTACATCGGGATGACAAAATTCGAAAATTTGAATTTCTCGCTCGAATTGCGACAAAAATGACGAAGACACGAAATTTCATTAATGGCTTGAAGATCAACTGACTGCACCAACGCAATCTTGCAGGCAAATACTAATCGAGGATTCACCGCGCAGGAGGTTGAATACTTTCCAGGCTTTATTAAAAGACACGCAAGATATGAAGGAAAAAATTCCGGACCTTCTTGCCAAATTATAGCACTTTTTCAGTGCTTCCGGACCGCCCCGAGGAAATCAGTATTATTTCTGATAATCCAGTCTAGACTAGTAGACACCCTGGTCAATATTAGCACATGTTTTAACAACTTTAATACTTGAAGACGTGAAGAAATTAGGTTCAGAAGTCTTGGAGATTGAAACCGGGTACATTGCTGAGCCGGAGAGTCAAAAATGCGTTGATTCTTACATTTCGAAAAAATACATCAAGATTATGGACCTCCTTGAACAACGCGCTTGACTAGAGAAGATACGTCCAGAAGATAGTCCATTGTTATTTATTGTGCTAATGAGATGGGATAAGTGTGCTTGTTAATAAGTTGTTAAGTTGGTGAAGTGCGATTGAAATTTTACGGAGTGCTGTGCCATTTATTCTCATCCTTATGGCACCAAAACGGAAACTCGCAATGTTATCCAATGCAAAAAAAATTGAAATTAATAAAATTTTGTGATGATAACAAGTGTATGACACGGAAAGACATCGCCTCCAAGCACAATGTGCCACAGTCCAACAAAAAACTTCCAAAATTTCAACCAGAAAGTTAGCTAAAATGCGCAAGAAATTTTGAGGAAAAACCTCGAAGATATTTCCAACAAGTTTAAACATGGACTTTTTTAAATTAAAACCCATCAACCTGACAGAAATAATTTCATAATACAGAAAAAAAGGAGCTCTCTTCCTAGAGCAATGCTTCATCCACGGACGCCCAGTAGAAGTTTGGAAAACACCATTTATTTCTCCGATTAAGAATTGATAGTTTAATGAATTCACGTGTTCAATTTTTCATTGATTATCAATGAATAAGATATCTTGGGCACAATTAGCTTTCCCAATCCTAGCAGCCATTTCAAAGCATGCTTGCACGTACGTTAGGTATTAAAATGCCTTCATACCTACATGATCTAGTAATGGCTAGCAAAACTCCAAAAATCTAGAATATCAAATCGATGCAGCTGTTAAAATTTTGTCTGCCCATTCCACTCCATTAAAACAAAAAAATAAAATAAATAAATTAACGTATTCCAAAAACATTGAAAAGATATGTTTTTGACAATATTCCTAGAAAGTTGCCAACATCGCAGGCTTGACAAATGAAAGAATAAACGCGAATACCACCAGGAAGACTCGGTTATCAATATCCATTAATTTCTTTAGCGGCCATTGCTGCTTAGGCAGCAACAATTTATCAGACATCGATGTTTAATACCATCAACTAGTAACCATTTGCATGGACAATAAACAAAGAATCAGTTGTGCCACGAAAGATGAGAGCTTATGTTGCATTTCTGCACCTTGGAAAATGTTTACACACAAAAAATTTTTATGGTTTAATGAAATCCACCTTAGCTTTTAAATAAATAAAATTGAATTTATTATCAACAGCAAACACATAACAAATATCACACATACATGGACGACACATGATGGATGCTTGATTCGAAGGGATTAAATCATGTCGAAGCAAAATAGTTTCTGACTTCAAGGTGAGTCTAGAGCACTTAGTATCAAAATTTGAAACAATAATTGCTTCAATTTTAGTTTCTAATTTTATCTGGAAAATGAATGCATATGCAAAAGCAGAAAGCATGTTTCGGCTGTCTATTCCCATGACTCTTTGGGGAAAATCTAAATTCTGAGTTGCAAATTGGTCTTGACTGTGCAGTTGAGCAAACAAAATTTGTGTTGACCATTTGGCGAAAACCCAGAACGTTGCAGAAAATTGCACAGGCCTAGAGCAATCTGCACCCTTGCCTATACTGAAGCCTTAAGTATCTGAACGCGTACAATTGCATTCTACAAGTATTCAGTAACTTGGTGAATTTAAGTAAAGGGGTTTTCTCCACATACATACATAGAGTACATCGGCTATAGACATATTTTTCATAAAAATTTAGACCGTTCAAGAAATTTCTCAATACTTGCAATTTAAAGAATTCGATAGCCAGGGTGCAAAGAGCTTCCCCAGACTTATTCTTAGCTAAGACACACTGATTTCAACGGCACATGAGAAAGTCTGATTACGGAGTTAAAAATTATTTCAGTCAGGTTCAAAACATAAAACTCATTGCGCTGCCCACAATGAAGAACTCACACTAATCACTCTGAAAATTGGGATCGCAGTCCAAGTTGACACATGAGAACTTCACTTACAGATTAAATTCTCTTATTGAATAACTTTGCACTCATCGCTTTGAACTTTAAGGAAAATAAATGATCAAAATTGCTGCTAAGAATGTAAGTTGTCATGTTTCCAGGTTTTGAGCTGAATGAAGATGAAAGGAAAATGGGAGTACACTACTAATACATGGTTTTTTTTCAAACCTTCGTTGAGTGGTGCACTTAGTTCTAAATTTAAATTAAGTCTGCTTAAATTTTTATTTTAAGGGCTAAAATATGATTAAAAAACTCTTAAATCCCCTGCAAACATTAGAATCCTGATTTGAAGCCCGGAAATGAAGAGAAGAGTTAAAAAACGTAGTGTCAACTACACAAGGTTGAAGGAAGAGTGAATTTTGACGGCAGAACTGAAGAAAAAACAAGTGATGTTTCAGAAGTTTAGAGGGCTGAGGCTTCAAGAGGAAGCGTGTTCAGAAGAAATTGTAAGACAGAAAAAAGTCTAATTTAGACCTAAAACAAAAGCGTAAGGTATTACCTGAGAGCCCTGAAGAACTTCGTATTTTTAAGCCATTTGGAATTTTGACGCTTTTGGAGTTGTGCTTGGACAATTCTCCATCAACTTAAAGGGCGTTGAAACAACTGGAGGCTGAGTGAAGAGAGGAACATATGTACGATGTGTGAGTCATTACTGTAGTACAATCTAGGGTTAAATTTCCAATATCTGAAAAATCAATGAATGGCTTGATTAGGGTACTAGTTAGTCTGCTTATTGGAAATAACACTTTTTCTAGAACAAAACAGCTGACAATGAAACTTTGACAAAAGCAAAAAAAAAAAAAAAAATCTTGATACTCCTTGGAAACCACTGCAACATACTTAGCTGGACATACAGTAAGACCTCGAATTATCGGATCTCGATTTAACAGATCAATCCTCCAGTCCCTTCAGTAGGACCGACTAGCGCGCTTTAGCGGATTCCGCAATTTAAAAGATTTGGCCTCCGATCCCATGAAATCCGATAAATCGAGGTCTTACTGTAATCTTTAAGGGCTTTCTGAAAAAGCATTTTCACTTTTGCCTGATACTATGTGGATCAATGACACAATAACAGAAAATATTTCTGAAGAAAGATAAAAAAAGGTTTTTCAATCAACTTTTTACCGATGTGCCTGGCGAGGAACACTTTTGATACTTTCCAAAATCTTCATCTTGATGTTCTAGAAAATAAAATAGTGAGAAAAGAAGGGCAATAGGAAAAAAAACCCTGCCTTTAACATGAGAGCTAGCAAACGATTTCCTCACATTTGCGGAAACATTTTTGCTCTGCTCTTTTAGCCCTGTAAACAATTTGGTAAGATTGCAAAGCTGGTCACAAACTTACCAGGTTCAATGATACTCCCAGGAAACATGCTTGGTTTACAACAGAGGAAGGAGCTGCTGTATTTTTCATTATCTTCTTCATTGGTAAGCGTAAGTCTCCACTCTTGGAACTGTTTATGTCTGCGAAAAGAACAAAATAAAATGATAAAATTGAGCAAAACTACCAAGAAAATTGGCCAAAGGCTAGCATTTACATCTCTCAGTGACAAATTTTCTAAACCCCACGTATTATGAAATCTTAGTTTCTGTTCCTCTCAGTCTCAGTGCTCAAGACTACAAAGAGCAATAGAGTGTTAAAAACTCACATCCTTTAAAAAAGAGCCAGTTCAATTTGTGAGTAACTGTTGGAAAAATTATTCTGTAGAATGGCGTTTGAGCTTTCAAGTGCTGCTCACATTGTGCAACTCATTGTTAGTGTACCATCAGAAACTGATAAAACCGACAGCTTGGCTATGACTTTTCCCATCAGTGCTCTCTATGCAGTGCCTCATTTTCAAATGAAAGATCCTTAAATGCGTGTTTAATGAAATGTACTTAGTTAGCACAAAGTTGTTTCCAGTCAAATATCCTACTCGAGTTTGTTTCACCGGTAATGGTGCTGCAGAAGCATTATTCAGGACACAATATTGATTGAAAACATTTTTCATACGAAATATTGCATCATATATTTTTTTTGTCAGAATTCATGGAAAGAAGAATTGAAAATTTTAAGATAATCTCACATTTTCACTGACTGCTTAGCTAGATATTAATTCAAAATTTAGTGCACAGAAAATTGTACCTCAGGAAAGAAAATAATTAAGACATGAATTTCTCAAAAAAATTAAGTTTTCTTGGTAATTTGTTTTTAATAAATAGTTACATTATTTTAAACCTTGTGATTCTCAAAAAGGCAGCAAACTTTTGAGCTTCCATGATTATGTGCACAATTTTTGAGGGGCTTTATCTTTTCCAACAAGAACTTTGAGTGTGCAAAGAAATATTTTGTCCTGTTATCAAAGCTACTCATAGGTATTTTCGAGAGAGATGAAAGGGTGGAAAAAATTCAAATGTATTCACGCATTTGCTAGAGCTATGATTTTAAAAGAAAACTACTTTCTAAACGAGGAGAATGAATTGGGTGACATCGTTTTTTGGGGTTATGCAAGAATGGAGCTGCTAATAACCCAACTTGACCTAACTGAGAGCGTATTTAACGAATATACTCACTTAACAACATCTTTAACTGCAGATGTGTCCACCACTACCTCACAGTGATGGTTCATGTTATTCAGGAGCCACGGCAAGGAACATATCTCCGATTTTGATGCGAGGAATCTTTCCAGAATTTGGTTCAGAATGGCCATACATTTAGGATCCATTCCTTGAGACTTGAGATTCAGTTTCAGTTCGGTTAAAATAAAAACTTCTAGGGATGTGCACATCCGTCCAAGCCAAACCAACCAACCAGAACACACTTCAGTCCAGCTGATATCAGAACTTTTAAAATCTTTGAACCTGGAATCATGATGCAGGGGAAACAAATTACTCCTTGGTATAAGAAAAAATGACAGATGTGGTATTGACGAACTTTTCATTTCCTAATTTTCGGGGGCAAGTTCCCTCTTCAAAATCGGAAATTCCCCCATGATTGGCTGATTTGCAACGCATTGCCTCCCACACTAGTCATATCAACCACTATAGAAGGATTCTGCCGGCATCATGCTGGTTGTTTCAATTGGAATGCTGACAATTGCGTGACTAGGCTCCTTGGAGGCCAGTGGTCTTGGTTCATAAACAGCATTCCTCTTCTAGAGAATGAACCTCTGCACTTTGGTTTAAGGTTTGTTTGTTTATTGGAAAGGGAGAAGGGGGTGCCATGGCACTAGGGGTACAGATTTTAAATCGATTCAACCAAAAAATATGTTTTCCCTGGATCAATTGGTTAAATTGAATTGATTTCTGTACCCTGATTTATTGGCCAAATTGATTAATCAAATCTATGAAATATTGCAATATTTTTTTTTCTTTCTGATGACTAATGCTTTTTTCACATGCTTGAGCCTGTCCTTCCTACATTCATTTCTTTTGTTTCGTAAAGATTTTTTTACCCCTGAAAAATCGTCGAAATTTCATGGAAAATGGAATTTCACCTATCATCAAAACGAAATTCAGCATCCCTAGTGGAGGCAAAAAATAGTCAATTTTTCAAGTAGATGTTCAGAAAAATCAATTTCCACACTTAACGTCAATTCAATTTTTATCAATTTCATGACGGAAATCGATTTTGCTCAAAAAATCCTCATCCCTACATGGCATCAGGGGGAGTATGTACTCAAAACACCATAGCATACAGCATATTAGGAGGGGGATTCCCTCTTAGCAAGGACATTTTTCTCCAGGTTCCAAATGGATTACTTTTTTTCTTTTTTTTTAAACTAATCGTTTGGTTGATTTAGGAGAGTGCGTCAAATTGTCGTATCGGGCGCCGTGCAATGAAAGAAAAAAAGAAATTCTAAAATCATTGTTAGTGCCCTTAGTAAGTGTGACACTTACACAGCCCAAATTGAAGATTTTGAGTAAAACCATTGAGAAAATTTACCACACATCTCCGAAATAATCGTCTCTGAAGTCACAGGGCAACAGACTTGCAACCTTCTACACAAAAATCGATTCAAGCAGCTTCAAGCTGTGCTTTACTGATGACAAAGTTAGGAAGAAAACTCACGATGGTAGTGAAGGCACACAGAGTTTGCCATGATGCGTGATTAGGGTAGAGAAAATACTGAGGAAATCGTTCTTCAACTTCTCAATGCCCAGCTCTATAAGGTATTCTAACGGATTCACAGTAATTTCAAAATCGTAGGCCGAGTCTGCTATCAAACACCGAATCTTGTGGGCTAATCTAGTTCCGTTGGATCTTTGGATCTGAAAAAAATACATACAACACACAGAGGATTATTCTTTGCATTAAAATCTAGAAAAATTCCTTTCCTTAGATTTTACAGCAGATACAATAGGATCTCGGTCCTCAATAGCTGACACAGTAATTAAGGAAAAATGACTTGAGTTAAGATTTGTAATAAAGTCATTGATGTCGTGGGTACAGAAACTGCCTCAACGAACTACCTGTGTTTTCGGTAGGAGTAAAAAGGCGCAAGACTAAAAATTTAGTTATCCACAGTTCTGTTTAGTTAAAGTAGATGGCTTTGTATGGTTTAGTAGTTACTCACAATACACAGTCTTTCTTTGTAACAGTGACATTATAAATAATTAAAAAAAAAAATTTGAGAAAAAAGTACACTTAAAAGGATTTTACCACTGGCTTCAATGTTCCTTTTCTTATTTGATGGAAGATCATTTCCATATACTTCTGTAGCTCACGATACGTGCTGCAATCTGAAATAAAACAGACTGTCTTGAGACCGCTTAAAATAAAAAACAAAAGGATGAAGGGGGAAGGAGCAAAAGAACTTGGAGATTGGGCAAAATTAATTCCAGAATATTCAAAGACTCCAGGAGAAAGATTCCACACTCCTCTAGGTTTTTTCATAATAAAAACTGTGCTTATTCTCTAACTTTCTGGAGGAAATAATCCACCGACTTGCATAAAATAAGAAGCCCCAACCGTGACCTCAACCGTTACAGCTCCTTTTCAGGTTGGTTTAATAGGGGCGAAAAACGAAAATGTATGTATGTACGAGCCGCTTTTACGGCAAGCTAGGGCGCTCTGCGACACCTACTCCCCACAGGAATCTGTCACAGTAGAGATCCTCCGGAAGCTGGCATCTCTCCATCTCTTCACGGATACCTTCTACCCACCGTAAAAACGAAATTACCATTCTAAAATACCACCTGCAAAATATCAAGTTTTCTGACATTACATTGTGTCACACAGTACAGCTCAGGTTAGCTGAGAGCAGAAAAAGATGAGTTAGCAAAACTTTTCAGGTTCGGCACCACTCACTGTTTTTCTCAATTCTACTTCAAATGTATATTAACCTTTCTGAACAACATGTTTTTCACGCAAAAAGCTGTATTGGATATTATTTACATCTATGAAAATCTAGATTGCCAGAGGCACGGTGTTCCTGGTCACAGAAGGGAGCCCTACATTTAAGTTTCAAGCATCTCGCAAAATTATCAGATGACCTACAAAATTAGAGGATATGTTTCCTAGGATAAGTAGATGTTGAATCAGTGATGGCCAAAACAAAAGCATATTGCACCATACACCATTAAACTCTTCCATTCCTTTTGCTGATGGGTACTTGTTTACACACCTTTCAGAATATTCCAAATCTCATCAGTGAAATCAATGGCTTGCTTCTGATTTGAGACAGTGTCTTCAACAACACGGATGAAACTATTCTTTTCCTTTTTTTCAGCCTCTAAGCGATTTTTGCTAAGATACGGCACTGCATGATTGGCGGCTTTAAGAAGAGCTGTTAAACTTTCTTCAATAGTGTGTGGGCTAACGTCCTGCAAAATAGAGACAATCATTAGATCAATTTGGAAAACCTACATCCAAAACGTAAAATTGTTGAGATGAAAAAAATTTCTCGGTCTGCGTCTACAACCCTTTCTTCACATAAAAATCGAGAAAATGAGAAAAAATGTAAAAGAAAGGAAGGAGTAAAATTGTAGAAGAAAATTCTAAAATACTTAAACTAAGAAGTGCAGTTGAGGCACTTTGCGTGCGAGTCAGATTCACTTTACTTTCAGTGAGTTCTAGGTGGCACTTTCGACATGGTAACAATTTTTTCTGGGGTAGAATGCTTTAAAATAAATAACAAGGGTTGATTAATTAAATTTACTTACTGAGTCATTGAATTCAATGAAAAGACTCTTGTTTGATCCAGGGTTTTCAGGATCAATTTCTTGCTTCATGAGGATTACATCCAAAAACTTTTGCAAAAGCTGCAATTGATCCCAAATCGGCTTAATAATACTTCCATTGAAACCAACTTTGAAGTTTATCAACTAAAAACATTAAAGAGGAACAAAAATACAGATCAGTAAATTGAAATCTGCTCAGAAGTACATGAAATGAAAAATAAATGAAACAATAAAATGCTCCAGAGAGATGTTCCATAAACTCCTTTGTAACTTTTATCTTTCACATGAAGGAAGACTGCTAATTTTGCATGCAATTTTTGGAGTGTTTTTGCACAAAAGCAGAACATCATGAGAAAGCTCAAGAACTAGAGACAGTTTGTTTTTCATCATAGCGGTGAAATACACGCACTTAAAGATATCATGACAAGACATTTTGAAACCTAGGTTTTCCTTTTCTCCAAAATCAATATTAAATTGGGGATGAAAAATGCATTAAATGAACAGCTAGAAAACTGAATTGATAACAGCTATTTATTTAGGAAACTAGCTGCGAGACTCAAAGAAAAGGTTTCACAAGAGATGATTTATTACAGACTGTTGTTTTAGTAAAAGCAGAAAAGAGAGCACTCTGTATGGGATTGCCACAAAATTTAGAATGAATTTTCATGACTTATTCTGGTTAAATTCCGGACAATTGAAGAAATGCCTGATGGTTAGAGACTAAAATACATGATTTGTAATATTTTTCGAGCAAAATCTAATGTTCAAAATTTCTAACCCATTCTAAAAAAAAAAATAAGATGAATTAACAATTTTCCCTGTTTACTTAAAAACAAATTCCCTGACATTTCCCAGTTTTCACTTACTGGGACATCCCTATTCTTGGTTCCATTCTCTCTAAATTCCATAAAATAAAGCACTGTAAAATGAAAAGATGCAAAACGGAATTTGTCTCATCCGATTGGTAGACTTATCATTCGGAGAAAATGCAGGGTGTCGAGCAAAATTTAAAAAAAAATTCCGTAACGTTTCCCGGTTCTCCCGGTCGCTAGATACCCTGAAATGGAAGGAATATGGAGTTATTCTTATAACTTACAAAATTAGTTTTGGCCACTGAGAATGGTATGTCAATGGATGGAGTTGTCCATGTAATTTTTAGCAATGCAGGATTGACAGTATCCTCATCAGGACTGTACGTGCTTGTTACCTGCAGTACACTCTGTTAAAAAAAATTTGTAAGAAAAATAATTCATAAAGAGAGGAATATAAAAGAAGGATATCGAATGAAGAAGTAATTGGTAAAAAAAGAGAGAAACTGAAAAATGAAATTTCTCAAAGATAACACAATTATGATCACATCCTACCTGATAACCAAGAGTATCTATCTCAAAATGGTGATGGTTGAATTAATTGAAATTACTGAGCACAAAACTTGTTCTATGATTGATGAACTACAAATCTATACTTCGTAAAGATTTATGGCAGCTTTTGACTGAACTAAAATCAGCAGCTATTAAAGGAGCTCGAAATGATAAAATAAAGGACAGTCCTGGATTTTGAAGGAGTCTTTTGAGAATTTAGCATGGATTTGCAAGAACATGTAAGTTTCGAGATTGCTTTGAAATGGACATTTTTTCTTGACACAGCTATGCTTCCTGTTACCTATGTTGGAAGGCCAATTTATGACATTCAATTGATTGTAGTCAATATTTTGAAAGTATTGGCCACAGAAAAGGAAAAATCCTATCAGTCAAATGGTCAAGAACACAATCACAATCTAAATGAAATCACCTAACTTTTCAAAGGAGTACTTTCATCGATCCGAAAAATCAGGGGGATAACTTGTCTACTTAATTGCCAGCAACAAATAATAAAAAATTAACACCCCCAGATCTTGTAGCTGGTGTCGGATATCATAACCATTATTTTTACACATTCAGATACCTTCTCCACTCAAATCTATTGAGAACGCAAAAGAACCTGATTTTTCCCTAACTGTTAGCAACATTTCTTCGGTCCTTAACTTTATATATAAGCCATCTCTATTGAGTTAAGGATGCCAAGGAACTAAGAATTCTTGAAAAAAAAAAATATCCTCAAACATTTTTCAAGCAGAAGGTCAGTTCTACTTTGGCTAATGCTGAGAGCTAAAATAAAAAACAGACGATGAAAAGGAAAAGCGTTCATAGGTACGATGAGTTGACAGGATTTGATTACACTAAAATAACAATTTTTCATGTGAGTAGTTATTCATACAATTTACTTCATTTTTTGTTGAAGTCTCTACAAGGTGCAAATTTTTCTTTTTGCTGGCGAAGTGTTTCAATTGATAGTCACACAGAAGAAAATCTAGTGAAAAATACTTTAAAAAATATGGATGAATTTTGAAAATCTAAACCGTAAAAAGTAAAGGACTCTACCTTACTTTTGCTGAGGTTAAATAGTTTTGAATGTTTGGTAATGAGCTCATCAATATCTCCATCATTGAAGTTCCAGCTGTTCAGATGAGCCCATGATCTTGAGCACCACCCATCTTTATAACTGATACTCAGTAAGAAAGTCTTTTCTTTGTCTGCAGCATCACAGAACATCCACAAAGGCACCTTCCTATCCGACTTCAAGGTGAACACACAGCCACACTTCCTGATAAAACAGAGAAAAAACATTGAATTGCCGCAAATATGTATGGACACAAGTTCAGATTTTCTCTATTTTGCAAGTGATGAAACTTGTAAATAGGGAACAAAAATGCTTTCAACGTTATCACTCGTAGCTTTGACATTCATCAGTAGTTGCAACTCATCATTGCTAGAGCCGTGAAAGAATAAATATTAAGACACAAATTTGCTGTACAAGCTCAGCAAATTTTCACCCAGTATTACACACATGAACAGAGTGCCACTCAAACACTGCGCACAGGAGGGGAACCAGTGGTCTCCCATCATCATCATTTGTTTCTGGTTCAAGAAGTTTAAAAAGCCAGAAAAAGTTTTCGACTTACACTGTTTGACTTGTATGTTTGGTATCATGCTAGGTACACATTCAGTTCAAAACATCTTAATTTTTTACTTTTTCAAGTTTTTTAAACTCAGATTTCTACTGTTCAAAAGCAGATGTTGTCACAGACAAGTTAGAAAATTGAAAACTAGAAGTCATACACATTTACTTGTATAACAGCGTAAACCATCATTACAAGTATAACATTTGATCGCACCTATCAATAGTTAAAAAAATAGGGTCAAAAAATGCATACATCTTACTACATCATGATAAACTTCCACCAAGGTTTGACTACTTTAAAAAAAAAACCCAACTAATCAATAGTGTTTTTTGAATTTTCCGGGGAGCTTAATTAAAATTTTTAATCTTATTCAAGAAATTCCACTGAACATTTTAAAGAGATAATGAGACTGAATTCCATTTAGAGAAATAGAACAAATTTAAGAATTTCCCTTTTTTGGAAAATTTCATTTATATACTTCTGACATAGATGATAGCAAAACCTTACTTTGACATGCATATTTTAGGTACCTGGCAATAGAGAGATTGGTTGGTTCAATCATTTCTTTTTTCAAAATTTCTGTGAGATCTCCAACACTTGCTACAGTGATGTTGTGTGAAGGACTGAATGGACATTCCAAGGGTTGGCCTATGTAGCTTACAGACGTGTTTGGAGAGTGGCAAGTATTTTCGAAGACTGAATCAACAGCATTGAAAGTTTCTTCTTTCTGGAATGAATGCATTTAAACCCCCATCAGTGGAATATAACAAACAATAAGTCATGTGTTGATTAAGATATTTGTTCGGCGCTGAATTTACCCATTTAAGTACACCCATATAAAAGTACCACATTTTATCCTTATACTTCGCAACTCTTATGCAGCATAAGACACAAGAGGTTGGGGCCATCCATTATAAAGAGAACCTGCCAGTGCTGATGTAGCTCTGCGGCTGGGCCGCTAGAATTAATCTCGTGAGATGCTCACTGGCTGAGTGGACATGGTATTAGCTTGGGATATACAAGACTGTAGGATTGATCCATTTCAAATCAAAATATCTGGTAAGAATGATAGAATGTGACTCCCACACATACCACCGCACATGTAGATTCTGGAGGTACTGTGCTTTAGGCATAGAAGTCAGCAAAACAATGACAACCTCATCATGATCATCCGTCAGGGGAAAATTGATGCAGTTCTTTGAACTGATTGCCATGCCTTCTCTTATGTCTCAAGTGATGAGTAATGAGCAGTAGATTCTGGAAGTTCAACTGTTGCGTTCAAGAATGGAGAGGGCATAACTACATTCCTTTGACGTCATGCTGGTAGATGAGACTCGGGCACGGTTAAACATGGTTTTATAGGGAGAACACCTGACGCGTGTTCCTATCGTGCCGATACCTTCTCGAGGGTTGATCTGATGCAAAATTTAATGAGAACCAATTTGAAAGAAGATGAAATTTCACTTCAGAAAACTAACTGATCCACTGACAACATAGTCAGATAATTGAGGAAATGAAAGCTTAATACCGAAAATCATTCCTCCAATCAGATTCAGACGCTCCGCTCGCACAACTTCAGCCGATCAAGGGCCACTCCAAATGGTCCACGCCTGCAACTGCCTCACTCATCGATGCACCGATGACCCAAAGATGCTTGCTGTTTTCGGTAGAGCAGACGCGTTGTATGTTGATACAAAAATTAAGTATTGTTTAGGTCACCTCTCATCAGTAGTGCCATCTGACTGCATGAATTAACCTGCTGAGTGGTGCTGATTCAGCAGTTATCAGAGATTGACATTTGACTCAACATACAATGCGACCACTCTAAATATCTGCTAGCTAGACATCACAAACCTAACTAGTTTCGGCTTCTCCATTGCTGTAAGCAACGTTTCAACACATGATGGCTTCAGTTAGATCATACATATTGTGTATAGTACTGATGAGCCTGTAGCTGGGAGCGTGAAGACTAGGATTGACTATAAATTATTCCATCCTATGGATCATAATCACCTTGGATAGAAATCCAATAAACGTTAAGGGTGGAGGATTAACTCAAGATGCTTGTTCCAACAGATGAATTCTAAACATAATGTTCATGCATAAATAACGAAGAAGTGTAAATTGTGAGGACTTACAATGGGCTTCTTATGAATAAGAAATACATCCTTATCAGGAATGTCCATGAACATAGCAATGAAGGCTGGTGGCTGGGGAAGGTGTTGGATGATCAATTGGTTGTCTTTGACCAAGTCCTGCAGTACTTCAGGGATGTTGCTGAGCTCCATTTCGAGTCCGGAAACTGATAGGATCCACTGCCGAGGATGTCAGCGCGATAATAATGCTCAGGATAATACAATGCAGGGAAAACTCACAGATGATGAAGCGGCAGTCCCGCCATATCTTCCACACTAAGCAAGAGTTGGGAACAGATTCGTCGATCAAAGAAGGGCACAATCACAACAGTTGAAGAGTGATAATGATCTTAAGAAAAGATCCGATAATAAAGGACGTGAGTATGAGGTGATAAGATTAAAATGCGGGCGAAATTTGCTGATAATAATTGATATCGAGTACCGGTTCGAACTTCACTTTCGCTGCACGCTGTTTTCGTTACGACGCGGCGTGGACAAAGGAAACGTGTTGGAACTTGTTTCAGCTTTCCGCCAATTTTGATCAGGTTCGCCAANCCAGGAAAATTTAATGCATGATCGTCATTCTTTACATCACTGTTAACTGGGCGGGGCTTTTCAATGTGGCGCTAAATTCAAAACAGGCGTTCCAGTAAGACGGAGAGCCGGGGTAATAGAGAATCTTAATTCTTAACACAAGTAATACGGATGATGACGCTTTGTAATTTTTTTTAAACGCTCGTCCGACAAATTTTAAACCATTGCTGCACCATTTTATGCTATATGACTGATATGTTGATGGGCCTACGTTTAGAAATATTGGAGAATAAGGAAACAAGTTGAAATAAAAATGAATCACCCTGGTAGCATTAGGCCTTGTCTCCACGGGACGTTTTCATGGGATTTGTCCCAAGTTCGAATCGCAGGAATGAAACTTCTGGGATTTTTCCCACTTACTGTCTCCACAGGACGGGGCTCATACAGTCCTGCGACTAGTTTTTGCGGGAAGATAAATTGGTTAAAGTCGAGTATTTAACCGGTATTGAAATAATAATTGCACTCAATTGACAATTAGACACATTATTTTAACTAAACAAACATTAACAATGTAGTAATGAATAAAATATCGCACAATTCGTTTTCACTTCTTCTTCTTCTCTCAGTGGGTCCTAGGGGTACAAGTTCCATACTTGGTACTGGGAAAAATATTGATTAACTAAATATTTTTCCCAACTTCGTAAGTGGGATTTTTCCCTGGGACAAATCTCGTGAAACGGCTCGTAGAGACAAGGCCTAAGCTGTTTAAAAAAAAAACCTTGTTAATTTTAAAGAGGAAACTCTTAAAATATCTGAGTTAGGAAACCCTTTTCGTTCTTTTCTACAAACAAAACAAAAAAAAGATAGCCAGCACTTCAACAAGAAGTTTATTGTATTAGGCATTAATATGAGTAATTTTTAAAATTCAATAAAATTTTGATGCTAATGTTTTTTCAGAAATTTGTTTCAACATTTTCAGAAGAATTTTCCTTTAAAAAAACAAAAAGGGTTTCCTAATTCGTACATTTTAACATTTTCTTGACTTCTTTTAAATCTAAAAACAGTCATTGCATGGTGCTCCCTGCTTCATTAATTTTTCATTTAAGCAGCTAAGAACCAATTGCATTTAAAACATGAGTATTGATTAGAAGTGGGATTTCTTACATCTTCAGCAAATACTAAAGACATGCAAACCGAAGAACATCTGAAAGTTAAGCTGGAAACATTTTTGAGACTACGTATTCGGGAAAATCATACAAGTAATTGCCAATTTTTCTTCTTCTTGGACAAAAAACAGACTTATAAACTTTTCAATATTGCAAAAACTGGAACCAATTTATTGTATTGAATTCAATGATCTCTGTGCTTCTCTCAAAATGTGTAACTGACAATGAGCTTCTCTACAGTTTCCATTCATTTTAAGGACAATTGCATCTTTTTTCATAGCAATACAACAGACCTTAACAAAAAAAATTCTGATAGAAGACAAAAGACTAAGAAATGCAGTGAAATAAATAATTTATCAAAACAAAATAAAATGGTAGGTATCCGTACACATTACGTTGTAAGAAATTGCTAACTCATGTTTTCATAAAAAATTTGAAACATACGAGGTAGAGATGTTTCATTAGGGGCTTAGAAATTAGTTGAAAAATCTTATTTTAGCGGTCCTTTCAAAAATAAACACATTATTTCTTCTCAAAGAACTGATGGTAGCAAATAACATTGATTGCACTCTGCTTCAGAGGTAGCAGAACCATAAATTATTATTAGTAGTGAGCAAATCCTTTGAAACTAAATTGGAGAGAGAAAAAGGAACATAAACGAAGTAAAATTAGGTGAACACTGAAGGCAACTCGTCAGGTTCCACCTCTGCTAAAAGCCAAATAAACAAGAAATTTCTTCTGCTTCTTGCTCCCTTTAACTAAAAGAAAAAGATCTTTTTGGGGAATAGCAGGAATTTTTGCCCTTGGAATTCCCCCATGAGGAAATCCTGGCTAATTCCAGATCTGATTTCTACTATCTGAAAGAATTTTTCTACACAATACTAACACTACATGTTTTTTAAGCACTGCTAAAATGCTGGTTTTACGGCAGGAGACACCTCAGCACTTCAGTTTTTAGAAAAAATTGGCCAGGACCCTGTTTCACTAAAATCCCTTTGCACGGCAATGGAAATACTAGGGTACAAAAAAATTTAAATTACAGACTACTTAATTGAAATATTTAAGAAAAAATTCAGTCTTGGGACAAGGCAATCTAATCAAATTAAAATTCAAGTCCACTTTAAGGACACTTTGGAAAAAAATCTCTACTTTAGCTAGAACTGGTTTGTAGATTTATTGTTGTTTCCAATCATCAGTCATTTAATTACTGTTGAAGAATCCTACAGAGGATTTCTTCCTCTTTCAGTTTACTGGAAAATAGCACCGCCCAATCGCGGTTCTGAAAATTAAAAATTCAATAACCATTTAACCCTTGATCAAGTAAAATAAATATATAATAATATTGAGCTCAATTTGCGATTTAGCAGATTTTCTGTGTTACTACATTCTTTGACTAGAGAATTAATTACAAGCAATCTTAAATATCGCAAAAACAAGATTCTTTTAAGATACTTAATTGAATCTTCCATCTTGGTAGGTAGAATATTCAGCAAAAATTCAAAGCAGTGAAGTTGGATTTAACTTTGATAAAGGGGGTTAAAAGGAGCAATATGTTTGAATTGTAATTGATATGTAGACATTTTTTTAGGTTTCAACATTGAAGAAAATTTTACATCATTGAAAAAGTATCACTAGCGACTACAAGGATTGAATGTGTATCCATTTTCTATAAAACAGGGCAAAACCTTCTAGGTGAAAATATTTGAATGGACCACTAGAAATGGTACAAATATTGGTATGCAGTAAAATGTGCAAAAAAGGGGATTTGTGTTTCCTCTTCAAAATTTCCTGTAGAACATGACTTAATGCGACAAATGACCGAAATTAACTCATAACTGAGACAGGACATTAACCTTCTTCTTTGGCACTTTGTACAAAAAATTTTGATTTCCTACAAACAAGAAAAATATACATCTACAGATTCAAATCCCATGGCACAATAGTTTTGGCAGGCTTATCAATGCAGTGGTGTTCCCTTCCGCCCTGGGTTGTTCAAAGTGTTGATAAAAAGCATTAGCTGAGCCAAAACGCCAAGATTGGGGGTTGCCATTTTTTCATACTGTAGAGACGGTTACGATTAAACTCAATTACGTAATGGTTTTTTTCATGAGGGGGAAGTGCATATTGATGCATCGAAAAACATTAATATCTAACTTAAAAATTACCTCCGATAATTTTTGTTGCACCACTCTTATTTTATGCAAAAATTTGATGAAAGAAAACACACGTCATAATGCTTAAATTCGCACATTGTTTGAGGGTCCATTGCAAAAAAAAAGAGTTTTTCTCAATGTCTCAAGAGTTTTGCTGTCGGTCCACTCTTTCTTTCTCTGTCTGCAAGAACATCACTGGTGGACAACTTCAAGAAATCTTATAACTTGACGAAAATTTATTGGTGTTTTTAAAAAAATGCAAAACTTGTTTATGATATGACTATTCAACTTCTCTTCGCAATCTCGAAAAATTATTATTTTAGAGAGGGAAGAAAAAACCTCACTTACTTTTCAGTATTTTGAAGCAGCACTACTCTGCTTGTCCAAAACAGAATTGTCAAACAAAAGTGTCACCTTCTTTTTAGGTGACTTTCTGGGTGATTTCTTAGGTGACTCGAACATTTTTGCTTCCTTCAATTCATCGAGTGAAAAACTCCAAAGATTGCAACACCAATCTACAAAATTGCTGATGAATTTCAAGTTCGAATCTCGAACTTGAATTTGTGGAAGCTTCTTGATATGAAGCATAAATGTCAACAATTCTGTGAACTCATCCTGCAAAGAAGATATGATTAACTAAGGATTAGTTTGTATGATTATACATACTTCTTCCATTGATATTAAATGCTGCCATAATACTTGTTAAAGCAAGGGTCATACTGTAAGAGTTCCTGGTCTATTTCTCTGTAGGTAATGAAGATATTCTGAATTAGAAATAAGACTATTTATTTGTTTAGCTCTTCACCGAGTGTTCAAAATCAGCCCGCCTGGATCAGTGAGGATTTTCAGTTATGGATTTCTGTTACTTGAAACTATATGTAGTTAACTTTTAGGCATGCACGGGGAGGAAGTTGGTCTACTTAAATCGACTTCCCAGATATTTTAAGGACCAATTTTTAACTGCTGGAACTTGAAAGCACAAATATGTAATTTACTTACTATGTTAAAATTGCTAACTTTCAAATTGTAAACAATGTTTGTCAGCGATAAAGTGAAGAAGTATATATTGGGAGGACTCAGCTGCTTTATTTTTTCTTCATGCTCATGAAGCATATCTAAGACAGGGCCCAACTGTATAAAAAAGAGAGAAGAAAACGGTGAAACTTTGTAATTAATTTAATGGCAGAGGCAAAAGCAGGAAAAATTGTCAGATAAAACATTTAGAATTCTTCCTTTTATCTTCTTGTTTCCTTTCTAACAGGAGTCACGATGACTTTTGGTGTTTTTCAAACTATAGTCCATGCAAACCAATTAGACAGAGTAAAAATTCGGGTATTTTCGCGCGAGCCGAGAATTGCAACGTCCGATCCCGGCGAGGAGCTGCTGGGTCAGCGCTGAGCTCACCCTGGTATTGTTCCCATTGTGTCCACACCGGGCCTTTACCTGGCGACCAGACCCTTGTCATTAAGGCCCTCTGGCTACTGGTGGACCAAAAATTGCACACCAATTTTTCAATCATCCGTGAATTTTTCCTTCATTTTAATGGATTCGGATTCATCTTGCAATCCTGATGAAAAATATATATAATTATAGGTATAAATATAATGGTAAATTATTGTATTACAGAACTCGCGAATTCCTTCAGCGCTTTCCAAAAACTCCAAAAAACTTCTGTAATACTATAACTTACCATTATACTTACCTACAATTGTACATATTTTTCATCAGGATTGCAAGCTGAATCCGAATCCGTTGAAATGAAGGAAAAATTCACAGATGATAAAAAAAATTTGTGTGCAATTTTTGGTTCACCAGTAGTCAGAAGGCCTTAATGACAAGGGTCAGGCCGCCAGGTAAAGGCCCGACGTGGACACAATGGAAACAATACCCCGGTGAGCTCAGCGCTGACCCAGCGGCTCTTCGCCGGGATCCGACGTTGCAATTCTTGGCTCGCCCGAAAATGCCCGAATTTTTACTCTATATAATTGGTTTGCATAGACTATAGTTATGATGTTTACATTTGTTGAACTTTACTTAGACCATTATCAAGAAAAAGGAGCAACAGGAGGTAAATACTGGTCTTCAATTTGAGACAGTCCACAATAAAAGGAACCTCAGGGCAAAAACACAAATCGAAAGAGAGATGATTTTTCGTCAAGTTGCTTGAAATTTCAAATCAATTTCTGATAAAAAGCACCGTCTAGTGCCATAAGGAATAATTTGCTGAAGATTTTATTTACTCTCGTGTTAATAGAGGGCGGAAATTTTAATTCTGAACCAGTAAAGTTTGAACTCGCTACGAGGCAGATTAAAACTTTTGCTTATAGAAATTTAAACTTAAAACCTTCATAACTCCAGTTCGATTTGGTATGTTCGGGTGTTTATTAAGGAAAAAAGTTTGTAAAATATTTAGCTGAGCAGTAGTGCCAGCATCTTGAGTTCAAGTTTTTGGTGCTAAGGTCACTTTTTCCACAGATGATCAATAATATCATACAATATCTTTCAGAGTGAAAGCGCTCAGAAATAAGATCCAAACACACTGTAACCTGATGATTAAACCCACTAACTGAATGGCTGTCTTTGCATCTGAAAATTACTTGACAGCCTAGAGAGATAAAAATGTTGGAATACGGAGGAAGGACCACTTGATCCTGGGACTCCTTTGCAGCTCAATGATTTTTGTGGGTGGTCTGATAGTTTTTCCTGTCTAATTCTCCTCTTCCCAGTTTTTGAAGAGACCTAAAATGATAACAGTTTTGCAAATTTGCGGGATAAGATTTTAAGTTCATTTTCTACACCCATTCAACGCTAATACTGGCATCTTTCCAAAAATTAGCGTTTGCCCAATGAAAGATCGAGAACTCAAATACGTACACAAATATAGCAGCAAATAGCATAGGTAAAGGAAAAGACTTACATTTTTTACATCTGATTTTATAATTTTAATTCCAAGTATATCATTCATGATGAAAAATGCAAAGTACACAGCTAGTAACTGTCCTCTAGGGCTCCTCGGTAGGACATTAACACAGATAAAAACTTTGTTCACAGTATTGGTTTGAAAGTTTAGAAGTTTCTCAGCAAGATTCCTTGCCTATCAAAACAAATGAGGAGGATACATATTATAAAATTGAGGTAAATCATCAACTTAGTTTCATTTATTTAAAACTTACGGCTAATTATCTGATTTATAAAGTTCATATTTTTTATGATTGAATTTTCATCATTACTTATGGTTTTGCTCTTGATCAAATTACAATTTTACACCAATTTCGCTTACACCAATCATATCTTTTCTGATAGTCCTTGAACATGACTCATTGTATGATTTCATGTATCTGTAACAGTTTTCCTATTCCCTTGACATTTTCCTGCATGTTTAATTCACTGACTTTTGCTGTTTTCCAGATTTCCTGGCCCTGTTCAAACTCAGGTATTACCTAAAACTGTTTTACCTTTTACTTATTTACAAAATTAGATGTATTCACATTAAAAGGAGCTAAATTGCACACAAACTACATGCACATAGTTCGTTTCAGTATAAATACGTCCGATTGTCACCGTCTGAGAATTTGTTGAGCCTCCATGCATGTTTCCTTCCCATAGTACCTTAACATTTTTGCCTTTCACTTTGGAACTTCCAAAAATTGAAGTTTGATACAATATCATTTCAGATGATAAAGAAGATTTTACCATTAGGGATGATTCAGATTTATTTTGAAGGAATCCAAATTATAAATTGGTGCCAAAAAATTCATTTAAATACATACCTAGTAAACTTCTGCTCATGGTGCGACTTACTCATTAGTTTAGTTGCATAAAGGATAGTGCTATTGACAATGAAGAGGGCTTAGAAATACTTTTAGCAGATCGAAACAGTCATTAAGTTGCACCATGGGTAAAATTATTTTATTTAAATTTAAAGTTGGGAACAAAATGCAAGCATACAACTAAAAAAATTCAAGAAAATATTGAAGGAAAGTACTCACATCAAAATCGTTAAAGCTGACTTGACTGTTCAAAAGTAAGTCAATGAGACTATTGATTAAATGCAAAATTTTCAAACAATTTTTATCAGTGCCAATTTTTGAAAGCACAATCACAAGATCGAAAGCGTTTTCAGAGGTAAGTGCTTCTTTGCCAAGACAGAAATTTAAATATTCCAACACCTGAAAAAAAAAAAAAAAATTGGCAAACTTTAAAGATCGAAAATGATTTGAAATTTGATTCTGCACACAATTCTTCCTGCTGGAAACATGTAAAGAGTGTCATTTTGAAAATCACTTCCACGCTTAAAGACAAAAAATCTTAAAAAGATTCACTATACAAACATTTTTGGGAAAAAATGTAGAAAATTGCAAAGAAAACGTTGGGTGACGCCTTAAGGATGTTCTTCAAATTCACAATCACTTTCTTTATAATATGTATAAAATTCTTAAGAAAAATACTCAGGTAAAAGCATGAGTCTCGTAGATTTTAGCTTTTGGTGCGTCCAAATAGTTCTTTTTTTTTTTTTTTAACTTCACCATAGGTGCCATACAATGTTACCTCAATTTACAATCAAATTGGATAAGTGGGGCTCTTGCATGCTCCAAATATTTGTGGTTTATTTAAGTACTTGAGATTATGAAAGATTTAGCAAAAAACTTGACTAAGCCATTGGTTTTCTCTGATTCAAACTGATTAAAAAAAACAAAACTCTCGAGGTTGACAAAAACAAAACAATTACGCTGTAATTGAGGGGATCACCGATCGATACTGCGAGAGACTACCTCTATATCCAGTTAAATCTTCATACACAGATAGAAGGCGAATACATTGGTAGTGTTGCCACTTTGTATGGGGACTCCAAAACTGTAGCCTTAGCGACCATGCTAATTTATTTCCTCCTTATCCGTGCTTAAAGAGTTTGACTAGAGGTGGAATTTCACCCGAACATGGGCGATCCCTTCTATTACAGCCTGAACTTTGAAAGCTCTCCTTGAGCATGAGAATGTGTTTCAGAGATAACCACACGTACTATTGTGTTTCTTGCAAAATTTAGAAAAGAAATAATGTTTAAATTCCAAATCTCTGTTGTGAGCAAGAGCTCATTTCCGTTTTTTAATGGTAAAATTAGCTTATTCTTGTAAGTTTACAGCATTGCAAACTTCCAGTCACATTTTATTTACAAGCAAAAACTCACCAGTTTATTGCATTATTGAATGTCAGTATTGCCGATAGTTTAAGGATACAGCATAGGAAGGGGATCCTGAATAAAAATTAAAGTGGAATTTTTTGAAGAATCCGGATATTAGTGCAGTTATATTGAGTAAAGCTCATCTCATGACGTTCATCATGGAAAATTAGACACTGAGGTTCATTTCTTCACATCAGTATTATACTGTTCATTAAAATTATAACTGTCCATTCACTTTAAGACTTGAAAATTCAAGTAACTCCTTCATCTGAGACATTGTTTAATATCAAATTCAACATATTTATATTAGTAATGACGAACTTATAAAATATAACTTTAATTCTTAGGGACTGGTGGTGTGTTGCCTTGTATGAGAAAAAAACAGAACATACTGTGCGAATCAGCTGGACTTTATCATCACTCATTTTAGTGTTCTCTGCACTCTCTGAATCTTCTATCATTTCAAAATCTGCCAGCACTTCCTCTCCAATATTTAAACAATGAGGTGACGCACCTGTAGAGAGACAAGAAATAAAAAAACAAGATAATTATTCAGAGAATATACATGAAGATTATGAGCCATTAGAGAGGATATAGTTGTTCTAAAAACTATTTTGATTATTTTGGACCCTGAAAAAGGCAAATTTAAACTTTAAATTGCTTTCCCTTAAAGCTAGATTTTCAAACTGCAAACTTCGGCCGGCCTTAACTCGGATTCAGTTTGACATTTTTCAAGTTTTTTCTATACCACAGCATCGAATATATATACTTTATCTTATGATGGTATTTTGCACACAAATACAATACAAACTGAATAGTGAGTTAAATCTCCTTTTCACAATTGAGTAAAGAACAGTATTGAAAGAGATATTGCCAGGCAAAACTCGTCTCTCAAAATTAAGATATCGTTGAGGCAACATTACTTGGGAGAGAAGAGAGAATATTTATAAGAGATATTTGTGCAGTATTCTCTGACAATATTGTTCTCAATAAAGTTAGACTACATTACCAAGGCATGTTGATTATTGACAAAATATCGCCTGGCAATATTGATACAATGTCATTTGATAAATTTATCAATCTCCAAAAATTTAACCACATTCTTAGGCATCCTTTACAGACAACCAGATCAATGGTAAGCCTGCAGAAATGTATATATTGGTTTGCAGAATTCCAGTTTTCCTATCATGCTTCATATTCTACATGGAAAACTACTGGACATCGTTTCTTGAAAACTTTTTTTCTCTACTTATGAGAAGAATATTTCGTGAAAATTTCAAGCTATGATGTTTGTTAGGTCTCCTCTTAAGAAATAAGATAGGAGCAAAGATTTTGAAACAATACAATCTAGGTACGCATTTTTGCAGTTCCACCACCAATATGAAGGTCCGCTAGTAGAACATGACAAAAATCTGTTGGCGAGACAAGGGAAATAAATTTTCCACTTTGCGGTGTTTCATGTCTCCATTCCTGTCTATTTTCCTTGAAAGAATATGAATGAACAGGGTTCTTCACAATATCAGGTGGTAACAGCTGTGATCTAGGTAAAACTTACCCAAGCGATAAAATGCATTGATCACATCAACAAATGATGGTATCCAAGTATTTGCATCCGATAAAAGAAACTGTTTACATAAATCAGCATGCTCCGGAGATGTGGTCATGAGGTGGAAACAAATTTTTCCAATATTATAGGGACGGTTGCAGAAATATTTTGAAAGTTTGTTCTATAAAAATTGAAAAAAAAATGAATGAGTAAGTGATGAAAATAAAAACAGACGAATAGAAATAAATTTCATGTCTATGAAAACTGCCCTAAACAACTCCAATATTAATATACGCAAATGAATTAAACGGTGAAAGTATCCAAGAACTTAAACTAAAAATATCCAATGAACTTTCTTTGGGAATTGAATTGATCATTCTCAAGCGGACATGAAATGCCAGAAATAAAAATGCAAAAAAACAGTAAGAACCGTATTAATTGACCCATTTCAGATCTTAGATTACTTAATCATATGATTGAACAATCACATAAGTGCCTTAATAAAGGACTAATCTTTCCTCAAACATTGAATGAAGAGACAGTAGACTTGAAACAATCCTGGAATTATCGAAATCATATTTCCTTATACCTGGCACTCTTCAAGCATGCATTCGTCATGAAATGCGTTTTTAACTGAGACAGGGGTTGATGAGGGACTAGGCACATATGATCAGTTGTAGCAACAAACTATCTCGTAAAATAATCAAAGAGAATCATACCCAAAATCGAAAAGATAACATATGGGTAAACAAATATTGGTCATCTTCGTTCATATGATTGAAAGTTTCATCTGAAATGAAAAAAAACACACACACACATTGACATTTATTTAAGGCCAAAATTGATGGGGTGAGTATAATGGAGAATTTGCACACAAAAATTTTATTGCTTCATCTTAGAGTGCTGTATGAGCTGAGTTCGCAGTATTTTTCATAATTTGTATCTGACGTGGGAAACTGGAAAAAACTTGATTTAAAAGTGAGAAAATGTGCCGCTTTATGACATTATCTGGCAGCATTTTCCATTGAAACAATTTTATTTTAGCAAATTAGGTTATTTTGTCATATTGTCTCCAATAATTGTTCAATCTAGAAACCAAGGATATCCTCGTTATCAGTTTTCCTAGTAGTCTCATTTTAAAGATGAAATTTACAAAATTTCAGACACCTGCAAATTCTCAATTGGCTAAGGAACATTTAGAAGTCTGCATTCACACAAAAGAATGTTGCATGCTTTTAATTTTGCACATAAATAGGCTTCATTTTCATAAGAGTAGTTTTTTAGACTAAATAATTCAACAAAAGGAAATAAACTACAAGAATAATTTTTTAACTGGGTGCGGATGCTTTTTCGTTTTTTGTGTACCTCTGTAGTATGTTAAAACTTTGAATTTATCGTGGCTTCATTTAAAACGTTAAACCTCACTTGAGACGACTTCATGAGTTGTTATCAATTCATAAAGTGGTCACAAATGGGTATTTAACATTTCACATGCCAAAGCAAGTATCGTACTTGTGCAGAATCTTCTCTCTCATTGCAATAAATCATGGCTTAAAAATTTACATTAATTTCCATAAATCACAATTGAAAATTAAGACAGCCGCTATTTTTGAAATTTTTAAAATAAAGCTTTCTGCTGTCTCCTGTGCCCTTTCTAATCCATGTTGTGAGAAGAAACCACAAGAAAATAGGATTCTGCATCGTGTGTTGCTCCTTCATGTTTGTCTACTAAGCATATATTAGACCTTGCCAGCGTTCATTAAAATGATGTTTCATGACAGAAAAATACAAGAAGAAAATTTGATACAAAACACGAAAATTGTCTGATTTTCAGTTCTTAAGTAAGGTATATTTCCCATTAGTAATGAGTGGTATTATCACAAATCAGATCCTCAACTCATTCAGCTATTCAATTTAAGTTTGTAATGATTTTGAAAGTTGAAGAAGCTGATTTATTTTACTGACTCAAGCAAGGTGTGGTTAAATAAGTGATATTAATCTGTGAGATCAAAAGTCGGATTTTAAAACATAATCTTTGTGATAAATAACAAAGCTAATTCACATACATTGATCTTACGGATAAAATAGATTTAAAAAAGTATAATTCTGAATAATTTAGCTTTATTGTGTTGCATATTTGTGCTGATTGGTATCAATTTATTAACAAGGACAAGGTGGTAAAATAGTGCTGGGTCCACTTTATTTTGCGAAGAAAGCAAGGCCAAAAAAATTCAATCAGTGTCAAAATTTAAGCACTAATGAGGTCAGTCTTTGCATTAAGACTCATTAGAAGCCAAGTTTTTTATTCAAACTGAAAAGTTTTGGCCTCGCTTTCCTCGGAAAATAGTGTGGACCCAGCAGTATTTTATCACCATGTTACTTTCAGTTCCAGCCACATTTTCAGTGTTTTTTTTTTCTTTTGGTGTTTTTTTTCTTGTTCATCAAAAAGAGGAGTGCTTAAAATTTGAGTTAAAAACTTATCAAAAGTGGGAGCACTCAAAAACCGTCTTCTTGCAAATTTTTAAAACGATTTAGGAATCAATTAAATTAATACCTTCGCAAATAATTCCAGAGCCTCCAGAATAAAAAACGGTGTGCCCGTAGTTCTTGAATTCCAAATTAACATCATTGGAATCAGAGCCACTTGATCTGACATGAAGTGTCCCATCGCAAAAATCTCGCAGGACGCTGTCACTACTATCACTACCTGGCATCAAAAACAAAGCAGACTAAAACAGAAGTTTGACAAAATGAAGACTTTTTCTGGGATCAATGAATAAAGTTTTTTATTGAGGACCGCGAGAAAAGACAATCCATTTAAATATTAAAACCAATTGCATTTAAGCTCTAGTGAGAAAGGCTCTATAGAAGGGCATAGTTTGATTTGCATTGGGTAAATAAGGTACCTATTTTAATAAGGTTTTNTGAGCCATTAGAGAGGATATAGTTGTTCTAAAAACTATTTTGATTATTTTGGACCCTGAAAAAGGCAAATTTAAACTTTAAATTGCTTTCCCTTAAAGCTAGATTTTCAAACTGCAAACTTCGGCCGGCCTTAACTCGGATTCAGTTTGACATTTTTCAAGTTTTTTCTATACCACAGCATCGAATATATATACTTTATCTTATGATGGTATTTTGCACACAAATACAATACAAACTGAATAGTGAGTTAAATCTCCTTTTCACAATTGAGTAAAGAACAGTATTGAAAGAGATATTGCCAGGCAAAACTCGTCTCTCAAAATTAAGATATCGTTGAGGCAACATTACTTGGGAGAGAAGAGAGAATATTTATAAGAGATATTTGTGCAGTATTCTCTGACAATATTGTTCTCAATAAAGTTAGACTACATCACCAAGGCATGTTGATTATTGACAAAATATCGCCTGGCAATATTGATACAATGTCATTTGATAAATTTATCAATCTCCAAAAATTTAACCACATTCTTAGGCATCCTTTACAGACAACCAGATCAATGGTAAGCCTGCAGAAATGTATATATTGGTTTGCAGAATTCCAGTTTTCCTATCATGCTTCATATTCTACATGGAAAACTACTGGACATCGTTTCTTGAAAACTTTTTTTCTCTACTTATGAGAAGAATATTTCGTGAAAATTTCAAGCTATGATGTTTGTTAGGTCTCCTCTTAAGAAATAAGATAGGAGCAAAGATTTTGAAACAATACAATCTAGGTACGCATTTTTGCAGTTCCACCACCAATATGAAGGTCCGCTAGTAGAACATGACAAAAATCTGTTGGCGAGACAAGGGAAATAAATTTTCCACTTTGCGGTGTTTCATGTCTCCATTCCTGTCTATTTTCCTTGAAAGAATATGAATGAACAGGGTTCTTCACAATATCAGGTGGTAACAGCTGTGATCTAGGTAAAACTTACCCAAGCGATAAAAAGCACTGATCACATCAACAAATGATGGTATCCAAGTATTTGCATCCGATAAAAGAAACTGTTTACATAAATCAGCATGCTCCGGAGATGTGGTCATGAGGTGGAAACAAATTTTTCCAATATTATAGGGACGGTTGCAGAAATATTTTGAAAGTTTGTTCTATAAAAATTGAAAAAAAAATGAATGAGTAAGTGATGAAAATAAAAACAGACGAATAGAAATAAATTTCATGTCTATGAGAACTGCCCTAAAAAACTCCAATATTAATATACGCAAATGAATTAAACGGTGAAAGTATCCAAGAACTTAAACTAAAAATATCCAATGAACTTTTGTTGGGAATTGAATTGGTCATTCTCAAGCGGACGTTAAATGCCAGAAATAAAAATGCAAGAAAAACAGTAAGAACTGTATTAATTGACCCATTTCAGATCTTAGATTACTTAATCATATGATTGAACAATCACATAAGGGCCTTCATAAAGGACTAATCTTTCCTCAAACATTGAGTGAAGAGACAATAGACTTGAAACAAGCCTGGAATTATCGAAATCATATTTCCTTATACCTGGCACTCTTCAAATATGCATTTGTCGTGAAATGCGATTTTATATTGGGCAGGGGTTGATGAGGGACTAGGCATAAATGATCAGTTGTAGCGACAAACTATCTCGTAAAATAATCAAAGAGAATCATACCCAAAATCGAAACGATAACATATGGGTAAACAAATATTGGTCATCTTCGTTCATATGATTAAAAGTTTCATCTGAAATTAAAAAAAACATGCACATATTGACATTTATTTCGGGCCAAAATTGATGGGGTAAGTATGATGGAGAATTTGCACACAAAAATTTTATTGCTTCATCTGAGAGTGCTGTATGAGCTGAGTTTGCAGTATTTTTCATAATTTTTATCTGACATGGGAAACTGGAAAAAACTTGATTTAAAAGTGAGAAAATGTGCCGCCTTATGATATTATCTGGCAGCATTTTCCATTTAAACAATTTTATTTTAGCAAATTAGGTTATTTTGTCATATCGTCTCCAATAATCGTTCAATTTAGAAACCAAGGATATCCTCGTCATCAGTTTTTCTAGTAGTCTCATTTTAAAGATGAAATTTACAAAATTTCAGATACCTGCAAATTCTCCATTGGCTAGGGAACATTTAGAAGTCTGCATCCACACAAAAGAATGTTGCATGCTTTCAATTTTGCACATAAATAGGCTTCATATTCATAAGAGTAGTTTTTTAGACTAAATAATTCAACAAAAGGAAATAAACTGCCTACAAGAATAATTTTCTCACTGGGTGCAGTGCTTTTTCGTTTTTTGTGTACCTATGTAGTATGATAAAACTTTGAATTTATCGTGGCTTCAAAATTTAAAACGTTAAACCTCACTTGAGACGACTTTATGAGTTGTTATCAATTCATAAAGTGGTCACAAATGGGTATTTAACATTTAACATTCCAAAGCAAGTATCGTACTTGTGCAGAATCTTTTTTCTCATTACAATAAATCATGGCTTTCTTTAAATTAAAAAGTTACATTCATTTCCAAGAATCAAAATTTAAAATTAAGACAGCCACTATCTTTGAAATTTTTAAATTAAAGCTTTGTGCTATCTCCTGTACCCTTTCTAATCCATGTTGTGAGAAGAAACCACAAGAAAATAGGATTCTGCATCGTTTGTCGCTCCTTCATGTTTGAAGCCATTTACCAGTATATACTGAGCTTATATTGGACCTTGTCAGAGTTCCTTAAAATGATGTTTCATGACAGAAAAATACAAGAAGAAAATTTGATACAAAACACGAAAATTGTCTGACTTTCAGTTCTTAAGTAGGTATATTTCCCATTAGTAATGAGTGGTATTATCACAAATCAGATCCTCAACTCATTCAGCTATTCAATTTAAGTTTGTAATGATTTTGAAAGTTGAAGAAGCTGATTAATTTTACTGACTCAAGCAAGGTGTGGTTAAATAAGTGATATTAATCTGTGAGATTAAAAGTCGGATTTTAAAACGTAATATTCGTGATAAATAACAAAGCTAATGCACATACATTGATCTTACGGATAAAATAGATTTAAAAAAGTATAATTTTGAATAATTTAGCTTCATTGTGTTGCATATTTGTACTGATTGGTATCAATTTATTAACAAGGACAAGGTGGTAAAATAGTGCTGGGTCCACTTTATTCTGCGAAGAAAGCAAGGCCAAAAAATTTCAATCAGTGTCAAAATTTAAGCACTAATGAGGTCAGTCTTTGCACTAAGACTCATTAGAAACCAAGTTTTTTATTCAGATTGAAAATTTTTGGCCTTGCTTTCCTCGGAAAATATGTAGTGTGGACCCAGCAGTATTTTATCACCATGTTACTTTCAATTCCAGCCACATTTTCAGTGTTTTTTTTTCTTTTGGTGTTTTTTTTCTTGTTTACCAAAAAGAGGAGTGCTTAAAATTTGAGTTAAAAACTTATCAAAAGTGGGAGCACTCAAAAACCATCTTCTTGCAAATTTTTAAAACAACTTAGGAATCAATTATATCAATACCTTCGCAAAGAATTCCAGAGCCTCCAGAATAAAAAACTGTGTGCCCGTAGTTCTTGAATTCCAAATTAACATCATTGGAATCAGAGCCACTTGATCTGACATGAAGTGTTCCATCGCAAAAATCTCGCAGGACGCTGTCACTACTATCACTACCTGGCATCAAAAACAAAGCAGACTAAAACAGTAGTTTGACAAAATAAAGACTTTTTCTAGGATCAATGAATAAAGTTTTTTATTGAGGGCCGCGAGAAAAGACAATCCGTTTAAATATTAAAACCAATTGCATTTACAGCTCTAGAGATAAAATATAGAAGGGCATGGTTTGATTTGCATTGGGTAAATGAGGTACCTATTTTAATAGGTTTTTTTTTTTTTTTTTTNTTTTTTTTTTTTTTTTTTTTTTTTTTTTTTTTTTTTTTTTTTTTTTTTTTTTTTTGGAGAAAGAGAGTGAAAATACAATGAGTATTAGTATAAGTAAGTGAGTTGAAGTCAAGCTTTCAGTGATGGTATTTCAATGAGATATTTCATTATTAAGTCCGTGAATCCTCAAAAAGATCTGTAGAAGCATCATGTTTTTTGGAGTTACCTACTGGTCTTAGAAGCCACATGAAAGTTTAAAATGAAAGATAATTGGCATTGAAAAATAAAAAGAACATTCTCTCTCTGCAAGACATTCTACACTGCAGGAGAGGGCAGATATTACTGTACTCCGGCAATTGTGATGAAATTACACATGGTAAAATGAACTTAGGAATCCCTCATAACCATTCTGGTGGCCAGGCAAAATAAATTGATTTCCAGCCATATGGAGGGATGATGAAGCCGTTGATGGGTGGTCATGGTCAATAAAACATTCTCCAAAATCTACATGCTTTATTGGCACGGAACAAAAAAAATAAGACTCTTATACTTACCCTCGCTCTGCTCGAGCTCCTGTGATAGTTTTTGTATTTCTTCCAAGCATTTTTGACGCCTGGCCCTGTCAGCTAGGATGGACTCGACAGTTATAGTTTCCAAGGTGCTCTGTAACAGTAACGGTAGACATTAGGCACATAAAGTCTCACTAATGGACATTGCTGAAAGAATGTGCAAATACTTCCTCTTGTATGAACAGGATAATACCTGACAACCACTTAAGAATCTTTAGCCAGACCAAATCTAGAACAAGTATATATAGTGTCATCTTAACTCGCCCATGGCTCTCAACATTCGAACTTACATTTGAACTCACAGGGGCAGAAATAGTATGGTGGTATATTTGGTAAATTATTCCTTGAAGATAAATTAATGCAGCAAAGTAAGTGATGTTCTTCCTTAAAACAGAAGAACTACAATAGTCATAGGAATCAGATTTTAGGTGCAAGTAAGTAAACGTCCTATAGAATGGTCAGCTTTTTTCTAACTACCCTTCCCAAAGATTAGCAGACTCTGCAATTGAATTAGCATTTCCAGAATGAGGAGTGTTACTTACCTAGATCTTAGTATAAGATATTGTTCTCTGTTAAACATTGGTTGGTACTTTAAGTAATGATACAAAAAAGGAATATTTATCTTGACACATCTCTATTTGAATTCTTCCCTTAACGGGGACATGTCTAGAACGATTATTGTCTGATGGAGTTCGTACCGATTAGGATTTGCGCACTTGTACCAGCAGCAAGAGATCCACTATCTTGCTCCTTCCATTAACTTTACATGAAGGTAAAAGTGACGTCAGACAATCTTCTGTCACAGTCTAAGAGTGCGTAAACTTATTTGACATGAACTCAACCTACGTCTATTCCATTGACGTATAATAGGTACAATCTAGACCACGCATTAGGATTCAGCGAGACGATAAGCAACCCGGATTGTCTCAGCACATATAGCAATCCAATATGTACCGAGACAATGGTAATGCCAGTCTTGCCTGTGCCGTTGTCTGGTACGCTTCGTATATCCGGCTGTATCAACTAAGCTGATGGGACGTCTAAAGTCGGGCCCAGTGCGCAGTCTAGATTGTGTTATAAGTCAATGGTCTATTCTATTGAAAAACAGGGCACCAGTTTAAGGATGACATCAAGAAATCAGAACCCATTCTAGAACTTATGTACAGGCAAGTGTGATAAATTGATAATGCTACCATAAAAGTAAAAAATCTGTTGCGCTTAAAATTGATCAGTTTTTTAACCAAATGGGTGATTTTAGTTCAGCATTTGTGAGAGGTGTATCATGGATCAAGGTGTGTTCTTCAGGGACAAATAAATCATTTACCGACTACGTGAAAGCGATTAGTCGACTTACCTTCTTTTTGCTCATTATGAACGAAATCCAGTTACAGAATGCTTCATAAAATAAAATATCAATGAATAGCAGTATGTACTTTGCACGTTGCTTTTTGAATTTCACGCATTTCACGCCTGCAACTTGTTTGTTTATCACCTGGTTCAATGTCCGTTCCGCTCCGTTCCCTTTTGGTTCACTCCTAGTCCTACTGGTGGAATCTACAGGAAGTGGAAGGCCGACCGGAAACCAGAAACAGCCAACTAGAAATACCGGATCACCGGAAACCGAAATACGGAATCTGCGAACGGATGTGAGTGCGCCCGGAAATGAGGTGGAATTTCACATTATTATCCGAATGCAACTGCAGTCCAGCGCCATAAACTTGTATCATGGTATTAAACGTTTATGGAATTACCTTAAGCGTCATAGTAGCGTCTTGCCATAAGTTTTTATCGGATATTTTTTTAATTTTTTATTTTGATGACAGAAACTCCCTCCCCCCTCCCTGTAAATGCCTCAAGAGAGGCTAGAATTGCTACGAAGACCATATTAAATTCGTATTCGTTCGGTTAAATTACGCATGCGACTATTATATTCTGGAGAATCTTTGTCAATTTTGCGACTTGAAAGCAATTNGGGGGGCGTCTCTCTCATAGAGAAAAAAAGGAGGTGTTTGCATTTTGAGGATTGTGTACCCTGTGACGTAGGTCGGTACAACCTGGTCACCCTGGTAAAAATTGGCAGTAGAATCTGTGTTCCAAAATACCATAGACCTACAGCCGACTGTAAGATTTCTCATAGCTTCTATAGCCGGCAACACAATTTCTTATAGCCTTTTATAGCCGATAGCGATTAAGCATTAGCCAGACGATAAAGTTTATGCTAAACGTTATACGGATACTAGGACTACCGTAGTGTATGCTATCCGTTACTAATTACGGATGCTAGGACTCAGTGAGTTTTTGGACTACCGCTCTCTTTTTGGCCCGTTGTATCATGATTTATTTTGCGAGGGAAGCTCCGTACTTTTGAAGGATGCCTGCTATTCCTAATATGTTGGAGCGCCTTCAATTTCGTACGATACTGTGCAATACCTCTGGTGAGAAATAGTTGATTCAAGCTGCTACGCTGCGGCGCAGCGCGGCGGGCGGGCAGCCAGCGCGAAACGCGCATTGGTGCCTACAAACCTAACAGGGATACTTCACGCATTGCGCAGTGCGTGAAGTATCCCTGTTAGGTTTGTAGGCGCCAGTGCGCCGCCGCTCCGCTTTGTGCTTGGCTCTAATATTTAATCTCGTGGAGTCAGCGTTGTTCAACTCCTGACGTTGAAATGTTTGCACACTCTGTATGGATTATTCTCATTTTAATTGATGAAAACAAATATGTAGTAAAGGAAAATATAATGTGCGTTTTGTAAATATTATGGTGATTCCGTACAAACTTGCGGATTTACAAAGCACACGAATTTCTACACAATTTCTTATTGCCTTTTTTAGCCGATGGCGAAAAAGCAACAGCCAGGCGATAAAGTGTAAAGCCCGGCGACAGGAACTATAGCCCGGCTGTTTAATTTTTTATAGCTTCGTGTAGCCCGGCCGTATAATTTTCCCCACTTTCTACAGCCAACTACATGATTTTCTATCGCCTTCTTCAGTCGGCTATAAGAGCTCCTATGGTATTTTGGAACGCAGCTCCTATCGCCAGTTTTTACCAGGGCAGCTAAATCCGGAATTCGAAATATGAAAAACGGACCATAATGTCCGATTTTTTTGCTTAAATCAACTCATGATGTAATTTAAAGCACATTATGTTGTACGCATTTTTTCCATAAACTACACCATTTCCAAGAAAATCGATGATAAAAATTGCCGTACCGACCTACGCCATCAAAAAAATTCCAAGACGCCCGAAATGCAAACACCTTCTTTTTTCCTCTATGATTCTCTCTTATTCCTTGAGCAGTCGTGGCATCAGGGGAGTGATACCACTGATCGGCCTCTTGGGAACCCGTGTTGCTTACACCGGAGACTGAGGGCAATCCAAAAGTGATGAAAATTCATTGCTCCAAGCAACGCAACGCTTGGTGAACTATTCTTGCTTCCATCCTCGAAAAATCGCGACATCTAAGAGTGATATCGGTGGCAAGTCATTTTTCCTCAAACATTTTTTCCTGCTGCAATTTTTCCTCATACTTTTTCCCTACTCGTTTTTTGTCCCATCACAGTTAGTCCTACGAGTGAGATGTCCTAATGGCTTTTTTCCAAGGGGCATTTGTCCTAAATTCAATTTTAAAACTAGGGGATCGAGAAAGTAAAAATACATACATACATACATACATATATATACACACATGAATTTGAATGGCATATATTTTCGTGATCTACGACCCGTGATCGGTGCTCTTCACAAGGTCTCGGGTCTGGGTCCGACATCATGGGAGAATGCAATAGTGTATTTTCTTCGGAAAATACACTAAAAAACAACATGGGTACCTCACAAGTTAAAGTTGTGGCCGCATGCCCGTAAGTAGTGGAGCTTCATCCTCCTCCTTATATTGAGGACATAGAAGGCTCAGCTTGTGATGTCTCCTGTTCACGCGCTTAAATTCGGCTCGCTAAGAAAACTTTACTCTTTCTGAAAAATTTCCCTCTACTCTACTCATGGGTGATTTCACGATAACAGGAATAGTTAAAATGTGAAATACCTTAGAAATAAAAGTGCACCGCAATTTTAACAGGATTTCATTACCTCATTTTAAAGGTATTAAACTTCCTTTTTCCAGCTTTGGCACGCTCTATTTTGATTCAGTGCAAAGTTAAAGTGATTGATAAACAAGCCATTGAATCAGGTATCAGCGCTTCCCGCGGGACTACTGGAGGTCCACGCAAACATGGCGGCCCTGCCAAATTGTGTCGGTTACGTAACAGACACAGCGTAACCGACACTCAAACATGTGAGATTAAAGATGATACAAAAGATGAAACTTGGCAATTCTTGAGTTATGAGGTGGAATTAATGCTGCCTTAAAAGTTTTCTAAACTTTGGAGACTTCCTTTTCGTTTAATACTATTAAATTGAGGTTTTTGCGTAGTGAGGAATTAGTGCTACACACGTAAAAATCACTGGTTTTCATGATAATTAAAGTTTTCATTGTAAAAAAAACTGACTTATCAGTGATGGTTTTGTCAAGAAGACTTCAGCGAACAATTTGATGGCAGTTTTGAAACTCCTGACTCCATCTGGCGAGATAAACACTGCACTTAATACAACTGCAAAAATTTGTTGCCAAATGTGGCGACACCTCTTTCTTATGACTTTTTTCGCTCAATAATAAACATTTCAGTTCAAACTGGCAATTTTCTTGAACACTAGAGTCTCTTTTCAGCAAATATTGCCAAAGAAGTTCATGATCAGTACTGATTTGTTACCGCAAATTGCTCTTTTGCTTCAAAATCGGGGTTGGCGACGCGTAACCGACCGGACATTTTCGGCCTTTAAAGTCTCATATTACTAAATATAATAATAATTCATCATATTTTTTAGCATGGATAGGTTCAGGGACATCATTCCTATTGATTAATTAATTTGGTTTTCAATCGTTTTGCCCTATGTCGTTCGTAACCCACGGCGACACGACTATTCCTATTATCGTGAAATCACCCTCATGTTTACGTTTCCATTATTATTGGATTATTAGGACAAACACCCTTAGAAAAAAAGCCCGTGGGACTTACTGTAATGGGACAAAAAACGAGTAGGAAAAAAGCATTAGGAAAACCTGATGTAGGAAAAAAAATTAGGAAAAATGACCTAGCACCGTGATATCTTTAGTCGGCCACCCGGGAGCTGGTGTTGCCTACACTGGAAACTGAAGGCAAACCAACGGTGATTTACCGTGGTTACTGCTCCTTGCAACTCGTGCTGAGTTATTCTCGGTTTCTTCCTTGAGCAATCGTGGCATCTGAGGGTGATCGGCACCGCTACTCGGCCCTGTGGGAGCACGTGTTACCTATACACTTGAAACTGGGCATGAACTGACAATGAGCTGAAGTCAGGTCCACAACATTTTTCGGATGCTCAAAACATTCCCTAATAATTCTCGATTTTTCAGGTTGCTAGACGCCCTGGTAATGCTCGTATTTTTCGAGGAAAAAGTACGTCCTACGGTTGAAGATTTTTAAAAATAAGTCAGGAGGACCCCCAAAATCTGTACCCCCCGGATCTCTCCACCCGGTGTAGACCCGACCCCTTTAGAAGTGCACTTTTCCGAGCCTTTTTGCACCAGTCCGGCCCTAATTACCTCATCAACCATTAAAAAGCTGAGGGATGGATGGATTGAAAGCATTTTTTATTTTCGGGTCGGCTCCAATTGTTTCTCTTCAAATTGATTGGTTGAAATTTTCGAGCCCGTGGCATCGTCATGGAATCGACTAGATCCAACTTTTAGCGTGGACCTAGTGATACAATATACCTACCTTTAAAACAGTGCATGTAATGGTATATTTGGATGTATTTCTGTTAAACAGAACTAAGCGCCAGGTTGAGTTCCTTTTGAGAATTTTAGAATCCAGAATAGCGCGTTCTGTCAAAACGGAACTAAGCGCCATGGAAAAGCATTGCGAGTGTAGGACGGAACGAGCATCGCGTTCGGCAACACCCGCCAATCCCATAGAGAAAAAAAGGTGTTTGCATGTCGGGCATCTTGGAATTTTTTGATGACTTGATGACGTAGGTGGGTACAGCGACGTTTAGCTAAATATGAAAAACGGACCATAATGTCCGATTTTTTTACTTAAATCAACTCATTATATAATTTCAAGCACTTTTTATAGAATGACTCTTTTTCTTAAATTACACTATTTCTAAGAAAATCGACAGGATAAAAACGTCGCCTGTACCCACCTACGTCATCAAGTCATCAAAAAATTCCAAGATGTCCGAAATGCAAACACCTCCTTTTTTTCTCTATGCGCCAATCCAAGCCCCCCTCTCCCTTCCTCCCCCGATGACGCTTAGTTCCGTCTGATAGAAATACGTCCATTTAAGTTTGACCAAAATCAGTTTAACCACATTAGACATGGTTTGATTTTTTTAACAGAAAACTGAGCAACATTGTAAAATAACCTTTCGTGATC